CATTAGCCCGTCCCCAAGCTACCAAAAGGCTGAGCCCAAACGAGAACATTTCTCCACACTCTGTTAGGCTCCCTTGGGTCTCTCTAGCTTTTTGGGCCAAAAGTTACAGGAAGAGGGTAAAGACCTTGAGGCTTCAATAGAGCTGTATTTGGAAAAACATGGTTAAGGCGATGAAGTGTGTTTTATCACCTCCTCTCCTCTTCAGGGCTGCTCCACCCTTACTCTCTCACTTTTTGGCCTAGAACCTTCTTGCTATTTTTTTCAAAACATTTGAAAACACTTGAATGCTTATGACTTGCCAGCTTCTATACAAGTGCTTTTTCAGAGGTGCTCTTGTTTATTTCCCCAATTCCATCTTATACGTGAGGAAACTGAGACTCAAAGAGCTGCCCAAGAGTTCACAGTGACCTGGGAGTTACGCTAAGTCTGATGCCTTTTTAAGCCCCATTCCCCATCCTCACTGGCCTGTACCCCACGAGCCTTCCACTGCATTCCTGGGCTGAAGTCCCCATCCAAGATCTGTCTCTTCCTTCCCTGCATTCCCTTCATGATGCCCAGTGACCTTGACATTCCCCATGGCCCTGAGCACAATGCCTGGTACAAACTAGAGGCCAAGAACAGCTGTGGCAGGGAGTAGCTGGGTGCTTAAGAGGACAAGAAGACCTTTGGGTGTTCTCTAAGTACATCCCACAGATGGGCATGTCCTCTACTTAGGCAGGTTAGCTTCGGCTTTCCCCCAGATGCTGCAGGACAAGTACAGGAGTCTGAGTACAACTCTTCTGTGCCTCCTGCCCTGTTCCCTCTCATCCCATGGGCTGGAGGCTCATGGGTCCTAGGGCAAGACTCTGTGCTCACCAAGCATATCTCAATGTGCTCAACACTTCCAGGCCATTGCCATAGGAGGGCATTGGGTTAGATAGGAAGGAAGTGCTCTTCCTCTAAGGGGGATGGGGACCAGGTTACCATAGAAGCCATGAGTAATTTCCTTCCTAAGAAGAGTACGGACTTCCAGGCAGCCTGAGCCCCTCTGATAGCATCTTGAGCAGAGGACTAGAGGCCCCCTAAAGATCCCCTAGGAGAACCAAACTGCTGCTCATCTGTTAGCTGTTTATGACTATAGCATATGTTTATATACTCTTATTTTGGCTGCAGTGGGGATTTTTTGGGGTTTTTTTTAGCTGAGCCATCCTGCCACCTGTTGGCAGCTCAGCGGCTGCTCAGCTTGGGCCGGGACTCGAACCGCTGTTGCTGAGAGCTCAAACTCTTGAGTGAGCTCTTAACCAACTGAGCCACTCGGCCGACCCAAATGTTGGCTGCAGTGTTTTGAAAGCCCTCCTGGAAATCTGTGCCAAGGAAAGAATGTCATTTTTAAACCACAAAGTTGGAGAAGAAATTTTAATCCATTGATGTATTGGGTGAGAAAGAAACTTTCCTATAGAGAGGAATGTCAAGGAATCTGGTGAAGAGAAAGCCCCAGAAGCTGTGAGGCGGGCAGTGTGCCCCATTTCCTGGCAACCCTCAAGCTGGAAACTTTTGACTTGGAAGTCACAATCTGGACTTCAAGCACTCCCAGAATCTCTACCTCAATCTCTCTAGTTTCCCCAGAGCTGAGCTGAGCTACGATTGAATGCCTCTGAGTCTCCACAGTCACCTCCCGATTTATTTATTTATTTCTGTCAAGAAGCCACAGGGGAAAGAGATGTTGGTCACAGCTCCAGTGTCCCTCTCTGCTGGCTGTACTAGCAACAGGGACAGTGCCTCAGTAAATAAGATACGTTCTTCTGTGCTGCCCGGGTTCCTCCTCCTTCTAACTTGTCTTTTTTTTTTTTTCTTTCCTCCTTTACTTTCCCTGACCCCCTTTCTCTCTTGCCCTGATGGCGGTCTCCTAGGAAACGACATGGCTAGCCTTTGGGTGGTGCATGCCAGCAGCCCACTGTGTGCTCCTCCTCTGACTTTTTACTGCCTTGGGGAAAGGTAGAGCCTTTCCTCTGAGAGACCACAGTTCTTTGATGTTCTTCTCCCCTTGGCTTCCTAGAAAGCTTCCTGGGGTGGGAATCCAGGTGAGGCGGAGGCAATGGGCACCATAGGGGAATGAAGAGGAAAAGGGGCTTTGGCAGAATGGGCAGAAGCATGAGGGTCTCTGCCAATATGCTCAGCTTGATTGCAAATACCATGTCTTAAGTCTAACCGAGTGCTCGCGCCACCAGCCACTTCCTCGCACCTAAGCTCCCTGCGTAGGACAAGGAAGCCTGCCCCTCTCCTAGCCACCCCCATAGGAGAATCAGGAGGTAGAAAGACGAGAAAGAAGTGCCCTACCTGTTTGCCAGGGGGTGGAGAACGGCTGAAGCTGGAGTCACTGCTGTCGGAGCTGTGAGGCATGGCTGCAATCTTCCGGGCTCTCCACACAGCCCCAGATGCTCCTGGGCTATCTTGTCACCGGCTGGCCTCCCTTCCTGACTGCTCCCTGGCTACTAGCCCACTCCCCTCGTCAGGTCCCTCCTCTGCCCGCCCTGCAACCACCTCTGACCCCTGCGTCCTCCTCACACTGGGGTGCAGAGGCACTGCTCCCCACTGGGACATGTCGCTGGCTTTGGGGCTCTCGCTCTCTCTCTCTCTCTTGTGGTTTCTGGTAACTCACGCTGGAAGTCACATGGGCGGAAACTTAAGTTAGAAGTTAACTTGAGATAAAATACATATCTGGGAAAAGACCCACAGAATTATGTGAAAGAAAGAAAAAAAAATACAAAACCCCAGATACCTTCCGACAGTTTGAAAGGCAGAAGAGCTCTTTTTAATTGATGAAAAGAGAAAAACAGCCCAGGGAGGGAAAAACCCTAGCCAGAATTAGCGTCGGTCTACTGTCAACACGGGCAGAAAGGAGAGGAGAGCAAGGAGTTTCCATTGTTACCCGACTTGATTTTTAAACCAAAATAAAGCAGTGAGGCTGGGATTTCTTTCTGGTTTTTGCCTGAAAGCAGCTGCCCACCATGTCTTATGTGAGGCCTTCCTCACTGCCCTTGCAGTCCAGCAAGCCTTGGGGTGGGAGGGGTTGAAGTGGCGCCAGGGCATGGTTTTTTCCTGACTATCAAACAGAAAAGGATCTGGTCCATCTGAAGCCACTGGGGAGGCTCTGAAACTGATGTTCTGAAAGTTTACTCATCACCTATGCCTCTTGGCAAGGTGCTCTTTTTAGAGAATAGATGCCTCTCATGTTGAGGGTCTTTCAAGAGCTCAAGATTGGCTTTGACTCTTGATTCAAGAAGGTCTCAGGTTAGAGCCCAGAATGGAGAAACAGTAAATAATAATAATAATAATAATAATAATAATAATAATAATAATAATGAAATGAGCACTGTACTTGGAGTCAAACCAACCAGGATTTGAAATCTGGCTTGACCACTTAGTAGGTCTGTGACCTTGGATAGCTCACTTGAGATTTATGCCCCTCGTTATCTCCATCTGTAAATGGAGGATGATAAAACCTGCCCTGCCCACCCCTCAAGGCTGTTTCGAGAACCAAATAATAGCATGGATTAAAATACCCCTGGCAACTCATAGATGCAGAGACAAAACTGATGGTTGCTAGATGGGAGGGAGGTTGGGGATGAGGGAGAAGGGGTTAGAAAGTACAAATTGGTAGTCACAAAATAGTCACGGGGATGTGAAATACAGTATGGGGAATATAATCAATAATGTTGTCAAGACTATGTAGGGTGTCAGATGGGTACTGGACTTACCAGGGGATCACTTCATAGAGCATATAAATGCCTAATCACTGTGTTTTACACCTGAAACTAATATAAAATAATATTGAATGTCAACTATAATTAGATAGATAGATAGATAGATAGATAGATAGATAGATAGATAGATAGTCAGGATGTAAAGTATAGCATAGGAAATATAGTCACTGGTGTTGTAATAGCTATGTAAGGTGTCAGGCGGGTAGTAGACTTGCGGGGTTACCACTTTGTGAAGGGTGTAAATGTCTAATCATTATGTTGTTTTGTACACCTAAAACTAATAATAAAATTCAATTAAATTTTTTAAAAATGCCCCTAACGAACTGTAAAAGGTGCTACAAATGGCTGTTACTTACAGTGTTACTAGCCTTGTAATTTTACTATAGCTAGCCTTGCCATGAGCACCTTTGTAGAGCTCTCAGTAAGCAATCCAACACTCACCTGGGCATTTTGGCTTTTTATAAAGGCCTTGTCTTATTCCCAGTAAGGCTCAAAGCCAAATGTTTGCCCTGCTTCATTTTAGGATTGATAGGAAGTATGGCCCTTAAAGGATTCTGTATCAACCAGCTGAATTCTGCCCTAAGACAGTATTACCCTAAGACAGTGAATCGAGCAAAATAAAATTCCTTCCCATGCGGAAGTTGTATTTGAGTGGGGGAGACAGACAGTAAGCAAAGAAGTTAATATATAACGCATCGGATGGTGACAATTGCTATGGAGAAGAATAAAGCAAGGAGGGATAAGGGAGATCTGGGGAGCAGTGGGTTGCTATTTCTACAGGGAGGTCATGAAGGTCGTACTGAAAGAGGGACATGTGAGCAGAAACCGAAGGAAGGAAGGGAGCAAATGATGTGGGTGTCTAGGGGAAGGAGGTTCCATCAGGGGCCTGAGGTGGGCGTGTGTTTGATGTGTTGGAATAGCAGGGAGGCCAGGGTAGCTGGAGCAGAGAGGCAGTGAATGGCGGGAGCTAAAGTCAGCAGGATCATTTAGGTCCTTGGAGGCCACTCTAAGGATTTTGGCCTTTGTTCTGAAAGAAATGGGGAGTGCCTGGAGGGCCCGCCTTCCCACTTCCGCTCCGATGCTCTACCACAGTCGCTCTTTATTTCCTTCATAGCACTTATCAAATTTTAAAACTATTTGACTAGTTTATTGACTTAATCTTTTCCTGTTTCCCTCATTACAAATTTTCCCTGTTTCCCTCACTTACAAATTTTATTCAACAAAAATTGAGCACTTACCATGTTCTTACCAGGCAGTGTTCTCAGTACTGGAAATGCAGTTAGTACTCAACTTTTTCTCAGAATGAGATGGTGAATCAGTTAGCTTTTGCTGCCTAACAACCCACAACAAACCTCAAGGGCTTAAAACAGTACCATTTATTTAGCTCATGAGTCTGCGGGTCATCTGGAAGCTTCTTCTGGTAGAGGCTGTGCTAGACTGATCTTAGTGGGGCGCCATCATTTGTCCTCAGCTGATAACTGGCTCACCCAGGATGGCCTTGCCTGGGGCTGTTCTGTTCCACATGGTCTCTCATCCCCCAACAGGCTTGCCTGGGCTTGTTTACAAGGCAACTATAGGATTCCAAGGGTAAGAGTAGGATCATTCTGCTGAGGCCCAGACTCAGAATTCACACAGTGTTTCTTGTGCAACATTCTATTGGATAAAGACAGTTGCAAGGCCAGCCCAGAGTCAGTGGGTTGAGAAATAGACTTCACCTCTTGATAGGAGGAATTTAAAGACTTGTGGCCATTTCTGCAATTTCCCACAGATGAGAAGCCATTGGACGTTTTAGCGCAGAGGAGTGACAAGCTCTAACTTGGGTTTTAACTGGATCTCTCTGGATACAGTTGTGATTTTCCTGGAGGGGAGCAAAGTGGAAGTAGGGAGGCCAGTTAAGATTATGACATTGAATTACTGTAATAATCCAAGTGAAAGATGTTGGTGGCGCAGAGTAGTGAGGTGGTAATAAAGGTGGTGAGACGTGGCCATGTCAAAACCAAAGATGTGTCTGTCTTGTTCATAATTATATGTCCAGTGCCTAGTAAATGCCTAATAAATATATGTCAAGTGAATAAATATATGGATAAATTCCCATAAAACTTTGCTCAAAATTTATGGCACTTACCATGACCTGCATTGTCCTATATCTTTTCTTACCCTTATATATTGAAAGCTCTATATAAGGATAAAAAACTATCATGTTTATGTTTTATTCAGTTAAATTTAACATTTATTAAAACCTATTATGTAGCAGAAATCATTATTATGAATAAGAGAGAGACCCTGTTCTCATTGAGAGGAAGGGAAGTGGTCAACTAGCCAAGCAGGTTATTATAAGTGTTATAATGTTCACATGAAGTTCTTTGCTCTTTTAACAGTTTATCATTCAACAATAAATACTTGTTGAATGAATGAGTGCTTGGTTCTGTGGTTCCAAAACAATATGCTGATTTAATATTTAACAGAGACTGATGAAAGATTAGCTCTGATATAGAAAGGTGTTTTCTCTCAATAGTATTGATTATAAATTATTTTTAAATATTTAAGATTGAAGAAAAACAAACACTTGTGTATCCACCATTAAGCTTAATAAATACATTATGAATAGAGCTGAAGACCCCTGTATATCTTTTCTTAATCCCGTTCCCTCCCCTCCCACATAACCATTATCCAGGATGTGACCTTTATCATTCCTATGCATATCTCTATACTTGAACCATATACATATGTATACCTAGGCAACACACAATGTTGCCATGCATGATTTAAAAATTTTTACATTGTCAGTTCTTTTATATTTAATTCTATCATTATTACACAGTATCTGAAGGGTTATGGCAAAGCTCAGGATATGAATATCAAACTAAGATTATTCTGGAGAATTCCATACAGCCACGAAGTACAGTTGTAATACAGCAGGCATCAGCTCAATTAACATAAATAAGCCCAACGGTCGCATTTGCCAGACACTTAACTCCTTTATGTATCAGGACAGTTGTTGGCTCAGTACAAATTAGAAAACAGTGCCCCCTCTTGGTTAAAGGGTAGGGACTGCTGAGCACCTATTTGACTTCTAAGGTGGGGATCCTTGAATAGTGAACAATTTGCACAGCTGTCCCCAGCGTGCTTGTTGTGTGTCACTTAATATGTGCCATTACCTGAATTAACTAATTTAACTCTCACAACAGCTATAGAAGGTAAGTACTACTCCCCCCGCCACTCCCCATAGACACTTGATGGATGTGGACTGAGACGGAGAGGTTGAGTAGCTTTTTCAGAGTCACTTATGGCAGCTGGCTTCCCCCAGATCGATCAATCTGAGAGAGAGAGGACTTCACAGTGCCTTTATGACCCAGTCTCCCATCACTTCTGCTTTATTCTATTCATTGGGAGTTAGGCTCTAAGTCCAGCCCACACTCAGGGGGGAGACAAATGAGGCTCCACCTCTTGAAAGGAGGATTATTAAAGAATTGGTGGACATTTCTTAAAATGACTACACTGCCCAAACTGATTTCTGAGGGGACATATAGCTGGATATAAGCAATCTGATATGAGATCAGGAGGGAGTCACGAGGCAGTATTCTGCTCCTGGCTCTGTCTCCAACTGACTTTATGGCCTTAGGAAGGTCTCTTTCCCTCCCTGGGCCTCTGTTTCCTCAGGAGGAAGGGAATGGCAGAGAGGAGTGCTAAAGTCTATTTCGTTCATCTAAGTTTAACGAAGAAAAAGAAAAAACCTACCTTACTATTTCACGGTTATATTTCCTATGGTTGAGAGCAATAGACTCTGTAGAGCCAGACTGGCTGAGCTCAACTCTTCACGTATTAGCTGCATGACCTTGAGGTTAAGTTATGTAACCTCTCTGTGCCGCAGTTTACACATCTGCAATGGGATAATACAATATTACCAATCTATAGGGTTGTTATAAGGATGAAATGAGTTAAAGTTTGTAAAGCTCTTGGGACAGTGCCACCATGTGACTTATTGTTAAAACAGAACAAAACTTGTATTGTTCTAACTAAATATGACAAGCAGAGAACCTTGGGCCAATCCGCTTTCATGAGTAGATTGAAATGACTTATAACGGAGGGTGACACACTTGACAACCTGTAGAGCATGGGCACCCACCAGTCAGAACAGGTCCTGGCCCCTGCTGTACTGAGCAAATAACCCACGAGTTGCTGGGTCATGGGAGGTGGGAGAGAGGGTGATCCTGAGGGAGGGGAAGGGAGACGTAGGGGGAGCGGGCATCTCAAGAAGTTAGGGCAGCAGCTCTTTGCCAGTCTGTATTTCAGCGTTTTAATATCCGGTATCACATTACCAGTGCCTATGGGATCAGCCTTGTTTAAAATTAGCAGGATACATTGTAGGCACATGGGCTTCTTAATGTAATTGAAGATAGATGGCGTTTTTTAGAGTGCCTCCGACCTGCTATATTCATACCTATTCAGTTTCAGTTCTCTTCGTTTGCTGTTCCCAGTACCAGGACAAATATATACTGCAGCCCAACCCCTGCTGACTCAGCTCATTTCCCGGACTTTGGGGTCTAATTGTGTTTTACAAAAACAGGGATGCTCTGACCAAATTATTAAAAAAAAATGGATTGAAACTGAGGAACCGAGCAGAGCAGAAACCTGAGCGCCTGTTGTGTGCCCACTCCTTACCCACCCCCATCCACCCACCCCGAGATGGGTGGGGATGCTGACTACAGAACTAGGTACTTTTCCTTCAGCAGAGTCATTTCAGAAGTCAGGTTTCCCTCCTTGGAAGGAAGTGCAAAATCTCCCAAGGCCAAAAAGAAGGGAGAAAATGCTTGGGTGGGACCCATCTCAGGGATTCTGATTCAATTTGTCTGAGCAGGGATATTTTCCCGAAGCTCCCCACATAGCCACCTGAGGCAGGGGTAATCACGGAGCCCACTTCTCCAGGAGGGGCACTTTGTGGCCTCAGAGTCAAGTTCAGCTTGCTGGCCCAGGAGGAACAGATGCCACTTGGCTCTTTCATCTCTGTTCATTCTTGTTCACTTTCCTGGGGACACAAAGGCACCAACCCAATTCCAGTGCCCTGTGGTTAACCGGCACCAGATCTGCTCTCATTACCTGCTTTGAGCTGGTACTTGACCTGCTTGAGTTAACGCGAGTCCAGCCCACTGCAAAACAAGGCAAGCAAAGTGGGGCCCTCTAGAGGGGTTTTGGGTCTAGAGGCCTGAGCACCCCTCCCCTCTCCTCACAGGCTCTCACTGGTGCATTCAGCGGCTGCATGAGGCCATTGGCTCCATTTTAGGCCCCTCTGCCTTTTGCTCTGAGTGGCAGTTTCACTTTCCTAGAGCGTGTTGCTTTACATTCCCTAATAGTCCTTTCTCTAGTTAGTAAAGATGAAACCCAGGGAAAAGAAAGGAGAGAAGAAAAGAATCTCCTGCGAGTGTAGGCAAATGTCTCTGGGTTCCCCCAAGGGCCCCACACTGAGGTGCCTCGTGGCTGGGGGAGGAGAAGGGAGGCCTTTCCCGCCCGCCCGCTGCTGCCCACCCCTCCAGGCTGGCCCCTACCCAGGTCAGAATTCCTAGGTTATCACGCCCCCCCCCCACCCCAGACCATTAATTAATTGATACTGAACCCTGCTCACTCTCTTTTTCCAAGGTCCATCTGTGTGCCCTTTTGAGGGCCAATTGGTGGATGTGCTGCCTTTGAAATTTTAAGGGTTGACTGCCACTTTTTAGTTATTTGAACTAAAAATAATAATAAAAATCCCCTAGCTACCTTAATTTTTTTTTCTTTTTTGTGGAAAAAGCACAGCATGGTAGGTACATCTTCACTGCTTACAAGATGGCTAAAGGGGGTTTTTCACGAAGTTTCCCAAACAAGTAGGGAAAACATTTACCTGACTGTTTGCCCTCCAGCGAAGGGGCTGGAGGGGGTGGCCAGGTGATGGCAGGGAAATTCCCCCTGTGGGCATGGCCCGTAGTCCAACCCTCTCCGGCTTTAAGTCCAGATAAGGGCTTGTAGGAAGCTTCTTAGGAGGGTGTGCAAGGGGCTGGGCTTCAAAGGGTTAAGGCAAAGTTTCTCAATCGCTGCCCTCTTGACATTTGGGGTGTATGAAGCAAAGGCTATGAAGAGCTGTCCTGTACATTGTAGGACATTTAGGACCATCTTTGGTCTCTACCCACTAGGCACCAATAAAACCCCTCAGATGTGAAAATAAAAAATGTTTCCACAACTTACCAGTTGTCCTCTGGGGTAGGGGCCAAATTTACCCCAGGTGAGAACCACTGAGTTCAAGACCCAAAAGCAACTGCCCCCTGGTCGATCTGGACCTGGTGGTTTCCTCACGAACCCCTTTAAAGCTTAGGAGACCTCTGGACAGGTGTGCTCTGCTTCATGCTGTCTCTGAGTCCCCAGATTTTCGACCTCCTTCAGCCTGTGGCTAGAGCCACGCTGACAGCAGAGCCACTGGCAGCTCCCAGAGTGGACATCAGAGTTGCTTCTGGCACCTTCCTGTCTTACCTGATCCTTTCAGATAAGTGGGAAGGGAGCGAGGCCTCTCAAAGGTCAGCTGAGAGAGGCCATTCCATTCTTTAGTTTCCCACTAAATTAAAAACTGAAGATATATCAAAATGAGGCATCAAAAATTACGGTATATTTTCAAAGCAACATACTTGTGCTAGAATGAGGTAATTATAGGATTTATACAATTATTCATTCATGGCACTCTGGAGGTGGTATTGTCAGGCCATGAGAAGTAACTTTGAACCTGGTGAATCCCCGCTTTTCTCAGGCCTGGCTGAATATCTCTGGCTGGATATAGGACCTCATTTGGAGGTAAGGTGTTTTGGGAAATGTGAGGCCTGTACCAAAATCATTTTTCAGCACCCTTCCCTCACCCACCAAACCCTGAGAAAATATGGAGAAAACCTTGGTCAGGGAAGAAGGTGAAAAGGGGAAATGGTTTCTTAGCTTTGGGTTTGAATATGCAGTCGAATATTCTGGCTTTGTTCCCTTTAGTAACTATGAGATCTTGGCCAGAGCACTTAAAACTCTGTGCCTCAGGCGCCTCATCTATACAATGGGGGCTACAGTTCCCAACTCGTGGTAGGCAATGCATTCAGATGGCTTAGCACACGTGCCTGGTAAGCGTATGGCGCCTACAGCAGCGACTGCTGTTGTATTTATTTTACCTAGGCCAAATTAAACTGGGCCTCTCCCAGTAGAGCGTCTCATCCAAAAGAAATATTGAGAAGAGAGAATCACATCACATATCAACTTTCTGAAAATCCTATTCATACATTTCTCCCTCCAAAGTCACCCTCCTCATGGTTATTGGGCCAATCTACCCCTTCTCTTCTGAGGTCTGCTCTGTTCCCGCTTCCCAAATCTCACACCCCTCTCTCCACTCTTATCTTGCTGAGCAATGCTAGTGTCTACCTCCCGGCCACGTGTTCTTTGTTCCTCAGCTGACATCTCCAGGACAGGTTAGTATCACTTCCTTTTTGCCCCATTGTCTTCTTCTCCAACATCTCCTGGCTCCGCGGGAGCAAAGGTTCGATAGCTACCTGACCGGAACAAAGGTGCCTCTGCCAAGGTTATTGATTGACCTGTTGTTGGACATTTGAATTCTCTTCAGGTTTTTACTATTACAAATAAGGTGGCTAAGTATATTCATGTATAAGTCTCTTTGGGGACATACGCTTCTATTTCTCTTGGGTGAATACCTAGAACGGAATACCTGCAATCTTGCTGTAATCATTTATTATTAGTTCTAGTAGCTTTTATGCAGATGCCTTAGGATTTTCTTAGATGATTGCGTTATCTGTGAATAAAGACAGTTTTTCTTTTTCTTTGTCCTTTCCAACTCATTTGCCTTTTTTTTTTCTTGCTTTATTGCATTTGGTTTTTTGGACAAGTGTTGAAAGTAGACATTTTTGCCTTGTTTCTAATCTTAAGAGCTAAGCATTCAGTCTTTTATTTAAGTATAATGTAAATTTAGGTTGTTTTAAAAAAATAGATTCGCTTTTATCGAGTTGAGGAAATTCCCTTCTATTTCTGGTTGGTTGAGAGCCTTCATCTAGAATGTGTGTTGGATTTTGTCAAATGCCTTTTCTGAATCTATTGATATAATTCCATGGTTTCCTCCCTTTATTCTATTGCTATAGTGAATTACATTGCTTGATTTTTGAATGTTAAACCAACCTTGGATTTTTCTCACCATGATAAGTCCGGCAACCATTTGACACCATACCACGCTATCACAATGTTGTTGACTATATTCCCCATGCTGTACATCACATCCCCATGACTTATTTGTTTTATACTTGGAGATTTGAACTTCTTATTTCCCTTCACCTTTCCCCTTTTTTTTTTAGTTTTTCAATTACAGTTGACATTCAATATTATTTTATACTAACTTCAGGTGTATAGCATAGTGCTTAGACTTGTATAACGTAAAAAATGATCCCCCTGACTAGTCTAGCACTCACCTGGCACTATACATAGTTATTACCATATTATTGACTATATTCTCTATGCTTTACTTTACATCCCCATAACTACTTTGTAACTATCAGTTTGTACTTCTTACTCCCTTCATCTTTTTTCACCCTGCCTCCAACCCCCTCCCATCTATCACCCCAACAAATCTAGTACCCATCTGACACCATACATAGTTGTTACAATATTATTGACTATATTCCTTATACTATACCCTACATCCCCACAATTACCGTGTAACAACCAGTTTGTACTTCTTAATCCCTTCCCCTTTTTCACTCATCCCCAACCCCCCTCCTATCTGACTATCATCAAAAATGTTCTCTGTATCTATGAGTTTGTTTCTGTTTTGTTTGTTTATTTTGTTCTTTAGATTCCACATATAAGAGAAATCACATTGCA